ATAGATCAGGTGACTTTGCAGAGGAAAACTCAAAGATCTGAACTCCACCTGCTGCTGCAGAGACTCCACAAACCACTCGTCCCCCATGAAGTTGCACGCCATGTCCACGTCGCCATTATACACGAGGATGCGGTACTTCTGCACAGAGAACACAACCGTCAACACCTTGCAGTCCATATCAGACAGGTGGAACAGGTGAGTCCTGTTAAAGGCTGGAAACATTTACACTGGGAAAAATGAAAATAAAAAACATGGGCGGAGCTTCACTGACTAGAGCGCCGAGCAGCTTCAGGTACTGTTTCCTGACATCCATGTAGAGCCGACCGTAGTTCCGGTTCACCTCGGAGCTGCGAGCGCAGAGCAGAGAGTCAGCACAGGTGAGGTGGACAGGTGAAACAGAGGTCAGGTGTGTGCCTGTGTTACCTGCAGATGACCCAGTCCAGAGCTTTGGGGCTGATGTGGAGGGCTTTTCTGACCAGCGGGTTGTTCAGGTACAGGTTGGAAGGGGTGGAGTTGGTGCAGGGGGGGTCCAGGCGGACAGACGGGAGCAGCGCCGCCAGACTTTTGACTTTCTAAAGTGAGAGAACCACCTGTTCAGGTGAGCGCTTTATAGATACTGTTTGGATCATCAGGTGACCTGAACTCACCTGCGTCCACAGCCGGTTCCACTGATGGTGAATGAACGAGTTTCCCAGATCTCGGATCACCAGCTGGCCTCGCTCGACACTGACAACAAACAGGAACACACCTGTGAGCGCCATACGTGCTGCAGGTGAGCTCACGGACAAAAAAGATCACAGGCCACAGCTCACCTGAGTCTCTGCGGGACTCCACCTGGGCAGGAAGCGTACAGGTTGTATATGTTCAAACCTGAACTGTAGACGATGGTCTGAACCTCTCCCACCTGCAGAGGAAACACCTGAGACATCAAACCAGAGAGCCTACAGGGAGACGTCGCGTGCACCGCAGGTGAACCGGGTCGTACTCACGCTGTCCATGCAGTTCTGGTTCGGGTTGTCATAGAAGTTGCATTTCCCGTTGCTGCAGCAGTAAGTCTGAAGCTCCGCCCACAGGTGGCTGCCAAGCAGGCCGTGGTAGTAGGCGAAGTACACCAGCGAGTTGTCGTTCATCTCGTAGCTCGACATTCCGTTCCCCACGGCGATGCCCTGCACCACAGGTGAGTCGGTGAGGCAGGCATGAGGCTGATGTTTCCACAGCCTGAATATGACACGCCTGTTTTTACCACAGGTACACCTGCTGCAGCTCAGGTGGGACACCCATTGATCACATGGTCTACAAGCAGCACGTCACAGGTACACCTGTCTGCAGTGTTTTCTAATGACGTCACTACAGGAAGCACGTCCAAAGTGAACAGTGTCACCACAAACTCAGGTAAGAACAGATTTGTTTAATGCTTTGAGTTTCTCTGTGATTTGTAAAGAAGACGGACTAATAACAATAATAACAGGAAATGGAAAGGTGGAGGCTTTATCCAGGAGCAGCAGCCTGAGCAGAGAAGCCCAGACCTCCCACACCTTAGCCACCGCCTCCAGCCCA